TTGACAATGTAAAGTCTAGTTGAGGTTACAATGCCCTCACAAATTATATCGTTTTTTTATATGAAAGGCTGCAAACGAGCAGACGGTCTACTTGATGTAAGGTAGTAACTTCGCCTATGGACATTCGTAACGTGTTTGTTGCGGATGCGTTGCGAACCTTGTTTTTTAGGGATAGGGAGGGGTGGGAATAAGGAAATGATAGGAAAGGGTGGGAATAGGGAAAGGGCAACCGGCTCTCTCACTCATCAGAAACGCATCCATTAAAGACTACTTCACGCCGATCTTCAGTGAGAGGGTGGTACTTACACGAGACAGACCATGTTCGAGCTGTAGTAACTTGACTACAGCTAGGCTCTACCACCTAAAAAACGTTAATACATACGTATTGTTTCACATTTCTCATTCAATACTACGTGAACATTATAATGCGTGAAAAATCAACGAAAAACTATTAACTACGCGTAAGTTTTTTTATACTACAAACTTGTAGTAGGAACGATTTTTTATTCTTCCTCTTAATATGTATATATCTGATAATTAGGAAATTATCATCATCATCAGCCTATCAGAGTCCACTGCTGAGCCTCTTTTCACATGGAAAAGGTTAGAGCATTAATCACCACGCTTGCTCAAGACGGGTTGGTGATTTCAAACTTATAATTTGATATAAGTCCATGTTTCCTCACGATGTTTTCCTTCATCTGTCAGTGATGTCTAAATACTCTTAGAGAGTACATACTACATATTAACTTTGATTTTTCCATTATAAATATATATTATTTTATATTAATGATACTGTTACATAAATTCTATTTATATGTATATATGAATTTCTTAGTTATTTTACGTTGTTGAGAATTATAAACACATTCCTTGTAAAATAATATTTTATCGAATTTTATTAAATATAAAGATATTTTTTTTCTATATAAGTCTTAACTAAATATTGACAATTTAGTGAGATTTAAGACTTTCGAGAGTTTTATTCATTTAAATGAAACTAATATTTTTTTCACTGACAATTTAATTGAATGCATCCATTAATCTACTAATACATGTATCAGATTTATTATAGTGCACGTACACCGGTACGATCTAACTGTAAGTATTATCGTAAATATATTCAAAGTGTTCCAAGTGTGGACGCGTGCGGCGGCGTCCTGATACAACACTACGCCACCGACGCGTGTGTGTATACCTAATCTGTAGGGTGTTTCACGTGTTTCACGTGTCACGATGCGTAATTAATTACATAACTTTTGGTTAACTTTACTTAGAAGTTTATTAATACAATTTATGTTATATTAATTTTTATTTTGTCATATACGATCGTCAAATATCACGTCCTCAAGTATCGATATTAATTCACCAGTCACCCTGTATAAATGGTTATATGAATAAAAAACTCGATACTGCAAGTATTTAGTTTGCACGAACATGTTGTAAGTATGTTTTACGATGTGAATGCAGTACATAATTACATCTGTTTCCATATCTGTTAAATACTTCGCAACACAAAGTTTAAAGGTCCAATAAAATGAGTTATAAGAAATTATATCTATTACGTTAAAAACAAAAATATTTATTTAAACCTAATGACTGAACCTAGGTAGAAATTATAGCTTTTTGACTAAATAAAAGTTTAAAATAATTTTACGCGGACAGTCAACATATCTGATATTTAAAGTTTTGTCATTAGTAAATTAAAATAACTTAAAGGTATGACAAATCTTATTTTTTCCGTAACTTTTCCTTTATTTTATAGTGTTGTCTAACTGGCAATACTTAACGCATTTAACCTAAAACTTATAACTGTAAGACTTGTAAATAGTTTTATAATTATTAAATTCAAATGACAAAACCAAACAGTATTTTTTACATATAGTTACAAAGATAAGAACATAATTATATGTTAAATACAAACACTTATCTAATACCTATATATATGTAATTCTTATGTATATATGCATGTAATTATTCTCGGTGACACAGCATTTGTGAATTGTAACTATAATGACATTTGTATGACAAGTAATAGTTTTTTTTTTTCGTAAAGATTTAAGTCCAAAACAAATTGATCTCACATTAAGCAAGAATAACTAAGATTACTTTGGAGTTTGGACTTATTGCATAGAAATAATAGTTTTAATTTATTAAAATTATTGGACGATGTTCAAACTATTGTTGCAATCCTAGTTTCAGAGTTTTCGCAAAATTATGCAATACGCACAATGTTTTCAGTGACAAAAACTAATAATACAAATTAAAATATTGTTTCAATTGGTTTTCAAAGTTATAATCAATTAAGTTCAGGATTCTTATAACATGATTACGTACTCAAAAAAGTTTTTTTCTAAGCATCGGAAGAATACCAGAACCAATAAAAAAATAAACAGGAAGAAAAGTTTTTTCACATCTCGCTACTAGGTAATTCTATCGAACAATCATCCACGCCTTACATTTGTAAACATTTTAACATACAAAAAGTTATTGTAACAAAAAATATATACCAAATTAAATATAAAAAAATATTTGTAATGTCTTATTACTTGATTTGTTTTAATAAATCTCGAAAATAGAAATCGTTGTGCAATCCAGTCTCATCTAACATAAGATTCCTTGGTTAAAATTAACCAAAATAATCACTATAACTAACCTTGCTGTCGTAAATGTAAACGATATATTTCAGTTTTTCATCTTAAATCCAAGTTCATCAATTTATTACTAATACTCTAAATCTAATAAAACTTACCGTGATAAAATCTTCAATATTAACTTTTTATAAATTATAACTGACCACAGCACTAACTTTAATATATTTTGTTTTAAAAGCGGGAAAATAACACTATTATATACAACTATCATCAACGAATACTTGATTCGTACTAAATCATTGTTTGACGGGGACTGGCCGAGTTGGGAGATATAAAACCTCAATCGAGTTTGAAGTTAGGTATCAGTGTTGCCATGACAAAATACAAATGACGTTTAGCTTTTGGTGGGAAAAATTAAAAGAAAATAATAGAATATCATTCTTAAATAAACTTTATGAATTACCGATAAAAATTAGTTTTAAATATAAACCAAATATACGATTAATATACAAAAATATGATTAGGTAGAGAGGAGCTTGTACGGTGGAGGTGAGCGTTTAACGTTAGATAGGGTCCCTTAAACCTACACCTGGGTCACAAGTCACAGTCACTGTTGAAGCTCCTCTCACTACAACGATGGACCCGACACACGCACCGTGAATACATGGAATGATGAGAGGTTTCGTCTCTCTATATATATTAAACCTACACCTGGGTCACAAGTCACAGTCACTGTTGAAGCTCCTCTCACTACAACGATGGACCCGACACACGCACCGTGAATACATGGAATGATGAGAGGTTTCGTCTCTCTATATATATTAAACCTACACCTGGGTCACAAGTCAGTCACTGTTGAAGCTCCTCTCACTACAACGATGGACCCGACACACGCACCGTGAATACATTCAATGCTAAGAGATTTCGTCTCTTTTTTTAATAAAAGACCATTACTTATTTACAAATACTTTTATTTATTAAAATTTATACAGGCAAACGACAAACCACGGTTGTATATATAAAAACTTTTTGGCATTATCATAAATTGTACCAGCAACAAAACCAATAGAAAAAAAAAGCGTAATTTACATGCAATTATTATTTCATGCAGTTATTATTTCACTGCATTATAATTTATTTACAAAACAAAATTTAAAACAAATGTCAAATTATCTTGTCAAAATTATTATTATAGCTACATAAGACTACACAAAACTCAAGAAAATTCATCCAACAAATAAAAACGTAAACATTAGCTAAATATTACACGATTCCATTGGAAATGAAGCCTCTTTTGATAAAATAATAATATGTACTATCAATTATTAATAAAATGAAATTAAAAATATATAATTCTAAATCATTATAAGTAATAGAAGTTAATTTCGAGAATTCAACAAGTAGGTATATCTAAAACATCATGATTTTTGTAAAATAAATAATAATATATTATAATTATTGTGTAGTATTTCTTTAAAAGTTGATATAATAAAATCCTTCATTGGTGTCTAAGCTAAATTGTCAGAGAAATTCTCATTTTGCTCTTAACTACAAGTTTGAACAGTAAAACTGTATACAGAAACTTTATTTTCATATAAAAATCTTCAAATATCAACATAGGATTTTAGAATCTAACCGACAAACTGTCTGTATGTAGTTTTTGAGACAAACTTGTAGTAATACTATCAGTAAGCTGGTTTATTGTATAGTTCAATCAATTTAAACCAAACTACTTCAAAATTAATCTCATAGTTAACTATATATATAATTTAGAGAGAGAAAGACAGACAGACAGATAGATAGAATCAACTTCAAAGTAGCTTCATTTAAATGTTATCTAAAAATACATATGTAAGGAAAACATAATTTTTGCTTGTATTTTTTCATACAAAGTCGGTTAAAACAGTTGGTAATATATAAATTATGTGACGACAATCTCTTAAACAAAAATGAAGGTTTAATTTATATGTTCTGGTTCAAATTAACTCAAATTTAATAATATATTACTATGTTGTGGATATTTAGAAGTAATTGTTATTTCTCTGTTAGTCAAAATGATATTTTAACTAAGATTTCTTTAGGACAATCTAGAAACATCTCCCAATTTTAAAAGTACGAATTATATAGATGGTCAGTCTGGAAAATATGAAATGATAATTTAACAACGGACACATCTTTAATCATTTTTGGGGTATATATGGACCCCAATATAAAAACTACCAATTACTATATAAAGATAATCAGTTGGAAACATTTGAAATAATAATTTGTGTATAGTAATGATTGGGGTATATATGGACCCCAATATAAAAAGTACCAATTATATATATAGATAAGTAGTCCGAAACATTTGAAATGATAATGGTTGGGGTATATATGGACCCAAATAATCTAAGCTCAGAAACACTATGGGGTCTTTACGAGTGCCTTATTAGGAACAAATTCAATTGGTCCAATCTCCGAAGCCTCTTTTATCGTTGAACATAATTTCAACGGGGTGTGTCTACACACACTTAGTCTTGCACTCCTTCGGACTGGGGTAACTGTGTACTTGATCGGGTCTGTTGACTGACGTCTGAAAAATAATGAAGTATATTATTATTATATATATATTTATGTATAATGCAAATCCGCGTAAATATCATTGGATGATTCTGAGTATCTACATAGGAAGCAGATTATCAGAAGAAAGTTTGAGCTGAAATATTTTGTATATTAACGACTTTTAAGGTACTTTTTTCTCAATTACTGATTATTTTGTGTTTAATTCATTACTAATTGTGAAAAAATTTGCTTAAAAGTCGTTAATATATAAAATATTTCAGCTGAAACTTTCTTCTGATAATCTGCTTTCAATGTATATATGTGGAATTATCCATTGCTAGTTACACAGATTTGCACTATCTCCGATGATATGTATATATATAAAATTTACCTTAAATATATAAATTCTCAATCATACTAACAATTTATTAATACTTTTCTAAGACAACATCATCATCATATATATTTATGAAGAAGATAAGCATCGTAGACATATATAAATATATAATTTTCGCTAAATAGGTATTATTATGTAAATAATTGATGATTACTCAAGGTTACATACATACATACATACACACATATAGATTTACTTTTAAATTATAAATGCTACTCTCACTTGAACAAATAAATTTCAATATAAATCCTAGACATCGAAGACTCAAGACAAATGCTCCAAATAATATCTTTATACATCTGTAAATGTACAAATAATATTATTAAATTATGGATAGCAATTGATTATTAGATATGGAACCGTGAGGATTGTTATTTTTATATATAATATAGTTTTGCTGTTGTATCTTTATGTATCTTTCTATTAATATACATAATATTTTGAGGATATAATATGATGCTCTTTCAAATTAGTGATAAACAGATAATGATGTAACTTTGAAAAAGTGTAGTTTAGACTTTAGATTATTAATAATTAAGTAATTCCATGAATAGCAGATCATAACAGTTTTCAGAAGTCTCATATGTCGCTAACTGTTGGTTGATATCTCATAATTTAACAAATTTAATACTTTTTGTATGAATCCGATATCAAAATTCATTCAGACAATGTCGCGTGTAAAAACTAGTTTTATAATAAAGACTATAAGATGATTATATAATATGTTAATCTTCATAGACCTGATTGATCTAGACTTTAATATATATGATCAAATGTTGAAGTCTAGGAAAGATAAAAGCAAGAATTCAAATCAAATTGATACAAAGTGAAGGAAAATCAGCAATATATTTAAGACATACAAATAGTATTAAAATTATTTAATATATGTCTTTATATATACATATATATGTTTGAATAAAGTCTGCAAATATACATATATAGCAATATGTCAAGTTTTAATGAAACTCGGGTACAGCAATTATAAAGTCATTAGTACTGAAGGAAACAATTCTTTTCAGTTGTGATTATTGTGAAGTGTTTTGTTGTAGAGAAACTTTAATTAATATAAAAATATAGACAAAGTCGCGTTAATCAACTAGTTATAGTTACTTAATATACTCACAACTTAGCCTGTTGCACTCCGAAACGTATGATGGTGCTTTTAAATACACTTTTCACATCAACCAGTTTTGGGTTCATCTGTGTTTTACCACTCGTAGGACTTATTTTGAGCTGCATGAACTTGTCAAGCAAATTGTCCAAATTGGCCTCGGCTACTGACTTCTGAAAAATTAATACGAGAAGAAATATAAGGCTCAATTTTGAATATACGGAAATATAAAGAAGAAACGTGTGAGTGGTTTATTTGTCAATGTTAAAAATTTTATAAAACAGTGAAATTCTTCTTCTACCTGGCAATTTCCCACCTATAGCCAGAGTCTGCCTTACATGTTGTGAATAGTTTTGGCTATTTGTCTTTACGACCGTCCGCCTGCCTGACATCCACCCTCTTTGGGAATGCATTAATCAGTGATGTCTAAAAACTCTTAGAAAGTACATATGAATCGGAAAAATCACAATGGTATTTGCCAGGATCGAACCCGCGCCCTAATGAATGAGAGGCGGGCCTTTTAACCACTAGGCCACCACTGATTACTTCCTAACTCCTATCACATACTTGCTAACTCTTATATCCTACTAATATTATAATTGCGAAAGTTTGTGTTTGTGTGTGTGTATGTTTATTACTTCTTCACGCTCAAACGGCTGAATCGATTTTGATAAAATTTTGTATACAGGAAGCTGACGTCCAGGAATAACATATAAGCTACTTTACATCCCGGAAATCCGCGGGTAACACCTTGGGGCGCAGCTAGTATCATATATTATTTCTTTCTAACCTTGGTCCCGCTAGCTACTGCCTTTTCCCAGCAGTGTAATGACGCTTGTAGATCTCCACGCCGCTCCTCTAACGCAGCCCTGCATTCCCAGTATTCCGCTGTATCGGATGCACTGGGATATCGTTCACGTATAGCGCGTAACCAACGCGCGGATTGCTCCCATTCGAAGCCCTAGAAATAATATCATTAGTATTAGTTTTGAAGGATATTGAAGTAAAACCTTTTAAAAAAGAGAGTGTAGGGAGCGAGCGAGAGAGAAAGATTGAGAGAGAGTGAGACAGAACGAACGTCGTATCACGCACAGTGCAAAGAAATTTCACTTCTATTTTTTTTGTTTATATAAAGAACTCATTGATACGAAATCTATTAGTCTATCACTATTGGAAGCAGATTATTATCAGAAGAAAGTTTAACTTGAAACATTTTCTATATTAAGGACGTTTCAGTAAATTTTTCATGATAAGTAATAAACTAAACACTAAATAATTACTAGTTGTGAAAAAAATACCTCAAAACTCGTTAATATAGGAAATATTTCAGCTTAAACTTTCTTCTGATAATCTGCTTCCAATGTATATGCTTATCCAATGCTAGTTACGCGGATTTGCACTATTCCCGACGATTTTGTAAGGAGTAGTTCAAGTATTACGTAAGCAGATTTATTATAAATATAACCCCCCTCCCTTCCCCTTGTCAGCAGTAAGCAAAGCTCTTACCCCCTCATCCCATGCTTAATTAAACATTTTCAATTACTGTATTGTTTTTTTTATATAAATCCAGAAAAATTATAATTATATTTTTTTATGGATCTTTTCGATGTGACGATTAAAACGTAAATACCGATGATGTAATCATCATCTAGACCCCCCTACCCCCCATGTCATCCAAAATCAACAAACCAAAGACCCCCTGCCCCTCCATAGTGCTTATGTAATACTTGAACGGCCCCTAATTTGTATAGATCTTACCTCTCGCAAGAGTTCTGTAAGATCAGTCAGCACTCCAAGTAGCAGTTCTTCCTGATGATGAATAGTCCCGCACGAGGTCAACGTACTCTCCCTACTATCATTCATTTCGAAGCTGTCACTGAAATAACTAGCCCTGCGCCACTTGTCCACGGGAAATTCAACCTTATCATCATTATTGACATCACAATTCCGATTATTCATATTATTGTGGAAGGATTCGTTATCACTATCGTGGTCCAAGGCAATATTTTCTTTATCATCATCATCGTAAGTATCAAGTTTGCTTTCATCTAAATTTATATCCGGTTTCGGCAAGTTATGTAAGCCAAATAATTGCAAGATGCGACATGACTCTATAGACTTGCCATGTTTTTGTAGCCACGAGACTAGTATAGCTTGTAATTCTTCAAGTATTGGAGTGTTGAAGGTGTTTGGTGTTTGAAACTTGACTTTTTTCCTCTCACTCTTTACAGCGGAGACTACTTTTTCTTTTGTATCACAATCACTGTCCTCATTTATGTCTTCTAGATGAGATGTGTCAATCTTTTCACCGATGGATGCCCATTTGTGGATGCATTTAGGTAGTTCGCTCTTACGAATCCTTTTAAAGTGTACCGCTGATATTGAACGTCTAACTGGAACTTGTTTCTCAAAGGTCGTATGGCGTCTATTGGTAATCATTGTAGAATCTTTGATGACCTTATTCAAGTAGCTCGGGTCAGTGTGTAGTTTCAAAACATTATTCACCGTTTGCTTTTGTATTATTTTCGGTTTATACAATCTATCAAACACAGATTCTCTCTTATTAGTAATTGGTTCATTTTTATTAATTTTTTTGGCATCATTTTTGGCACTTTTTTGCTGTTTTCCATCACCAATTTTCTGTACCGTAATCTTAGGTATTTTACCATCTTTGTTAAGTATGATTTCTTGGAGAGGATTTTTCTTTCTTATATTATTTTTGTTGTCATCTGTCATATTAACTTTTGCATCATTATTACTGTCTAATTTACTTTTGATTTGAACAGGGGCGGTACTTTTTCTTGTATGACTTATTACGTTTTTGTTTGCTTTCACGTAATTTACTGGTTTATTTGCAGCTGGCTTTCTAATAGACACATTTACATTAGCATCATTTTTGGCTGTGACGGTTTTGATGGGGCCATTTGTTAGTTTAGTGCTTGCGACCGATGAAGATGATGAGGAGCTGGTCGGTTGGACCCCACCATTGTATTTCTTCAAATTGAGCTCACGTAACTGAAAAATTATCATACATTTTTAATATAGAAATTAATTTAAGTAATTTTATAATAAATTATTAATTTCTAACAAAATTTTCTATGACCCAAACGCACTCCTCACATATCATGTATTGATTAAAAAATCCTAATTACTTTTATATCTCACACAAAGTATAAAAAATATATAAAATATAATATAAAAAATAACAAAATTAAGCCATTATTTCAAGAAATATTAGTTTTGCTTATTGAATATACAATAAAAATAACTATATGTAGTATTGAATGAGGTAAATAAAGTTATTCTATACTAATATTAAGAATTAACTTTGAAACACTTATTTCATGAATTCCATGCTATTTGAATTCAATATCTTACATCCATTGTGGTAACAATTCAGTAACACATATACGTAAATACTTTGTGATACACAGAGCCTCGGAAACTTAAATTCTACTGCAACTTACCGCTTAAATGTAAAACAATTTACCATCAAATGAAAAGTTTATTAACGTCTTCTATATCATGGAAAACTAGTAACTTGAAATATTTTTAATCATGTCAATTTAAAACTACAGTAGGACCCCGATTATCCGGACCTCGGTTATCCGAATTCGCGATTATCCGGACTGCCAATCGCGACGAGTTTATTCTAACACTAGCTTTTGCCGCGACTTCGTCCGCGTGGAATAGTGACTTCCGGCAGATTTTTTGTTCTTCCCACATAGTTCCCGTTCTTGCGGGGTTTTCGGAATGGACGAGTTCCCGTAGAATTTTCAGGATAAAACCTATGTTTTTTTTAATTCACAATGAAGTACTCTTAACCAACAACATATTTATTTGTTTATTTGAATAAAGATTAATATTATTATGTTGATACAACTTAAACAAATTATTTCGACCAAATTAGGTACCATAAAAACGGTTTTTGTGAGTTAATCTTAAAAGATAGACATATACTGTCGTGGAGTGTTTTTTAGATCATTAAAAGAGCTATTATTCTTTAATACATATTTTTTGTGTAACTTGAACCGTTTTCGCGGCGCACGCAATGGAAGGCTACAAAGATGAAATAATTTCTCCCGTTTTTTATACATTTACCACTATATCTTTGCTCCTATTGGTCGTAGCGTGATGTTATATAGCCCAAAGCCTTCCTCGATAACTGGACTATCCAACACAAAAAGAATTATTGAATTCGAACCAGTAGTTTCGGAGATTAGCGCTTTCAAACAAACAAACCAAATCTTCAGCTTTATAATATTAGTATAGATTAACATGTCAGAACTTGCATAACTCCACGCCACTTATAACACTTATACGTACATTATGTACAATTTCTTAATAAACGTTGATTTTCGCTCATATGTATTTGTTGTTTTAAATAAACACCTAACATTACATATGTATGGTACAGACTACATATGCACATATGCAAAAAGCCCGTTTTTCTTCATATATTGGATTATCCGGACTTTCAGTTATCCGGATGCCTTCCGACAACAATTAGTCCGGATAATCGAGGTCCTACTGTATTATTTTTATTATAAAACAATTAGTTGAATACAAAATACTTGTGATGTAATTTTAAATGCTATTTTCCAATTACTGATCAATTTGGATCAATATTTTTTAGTATGGTTGATATGTGACCTAAGTAAATGGTATTCATATAAATAAAACTATAAAGATAGATCTCTGATCTTAAACAGATTGACCCGTCTCACATGTAACATTAAAGATGACAATATAATAGATATGTTTTAAATGATTCACACACTCACACACTCACACAACGGAACCATTAAAGATAGATCTCTGATCTTAAACAGATTGACCCGTCTCACATGTAACATTAAAGATGACAATATAATAGATATGTTTTAAATGATTCACACACTCACACAACGGAACCATTAAAGATAGATCTCTGATCTTAAACAGATTGACCCGTCTCACATGTAACATTAAAGATGACAATATAATAGATATGTTTTAAATGATTCACACACTCACACAACGGAACCATTAAAGATAGATCTCTGATCTTAAACAGATTGACCCGTCTCACATGTAACATTAAAGATGACAATATAATAGATATGTTTTAAATGATTCACACACTCACACAACGGAACCATTAAAGATAGATCTCTGATCTTAAACAGATTGACCCGTCTCACATGTAACATTAAAGATGACAATATAATAGATATGTTTTAAATGATTCACACACTCACACAACGGAACCATTAAAGATAGATCTCTGATCTTAAACAGATTGACCCGTCTCACATGTAACATTAAAGATGACAATATAATAGATATGTTTTAAATGATTCACACACTCACACACTCACACAACGGAACCATTAAAGATAGATCTCTGATCTTAAACAGATTGACCCGTCTCACATGTAACATTAAAGATGACAATATAATAGATATGTTTTAAATGATTCACACACTCACACACTCACACAACGGAACCATTAAAGATAGATCTCTGATCTTAAACAGATTGACCCGTCTCACATGTAACATTAAAGATGACAATATAATAGATATGTTTTAAATCATTCACACACTCACACACTCACACAACGGAACCATTAAAGATAGATCTCTGATCTTAAACAGATTGACCCGTCTCACATGTAACATTAAAGATGACAATATAATAGATATGTTTTAAATGATTCACACACTCACACACTCACACAACGGAACCATTAAAGATAGATCTCTGATCTTAAACAGATTGACCCGTCTCACATGTAACATTAAAGATGACAATATAATAGATATGTTTTAAATGATTCACACACTCACACACTCACACAACGGAACCATTAAAGATAGATCTCTGATCTTAAACAGATTGACCCGTCTCACATGTAACATTAAAGATGACAATATAATAGATATGTTTTAAATCATTCACACACTCACACACTCACACAACGGAACCATTAAAGATAGATCTCTGATCTTAAACAGATTGACCCGTCTCACATGTAACATTAAAGATGACAATATAATAGATATGTTTTAAATCATTCACACACTCACACACTCACACAACGGAACCATTAAAGATAGATCTCTGATCTTAAACAGATTGACCCGTCTCACATGTAACATTAAAGATGACAATATAATAGATATGTTTTAAATCATTCACACACTCTCACACACTCACACAACGGAACCATTAAAGATAGATCTCTGATCTTAAACAGATTGACCCGTCTCACATGTAACATTAAAGATGACAATATAATAGATATGTTTTAAATCATTCACACACTCACACACTCACACAACGGAACCATTAAAGATAGATCTCTGATCTTAAACAGATTGACCCGTCTCACATGTAACATTAAAGATGACAATATAATAGATATGTTTTAAATGATTCACACACTCACACAACGGAACCATTAAAGATAGATCTCTGATCTTAAACAGATTGACCCGTCTCACATGTAACATTAAAGATGACAATATAATAGATATGTTTTAAATGATTCACACACTCACACACTCACACAACGGAACCATTAAAGATAGATCTCTGATCTTAAACAGATTGACCCGTCTCACATGTAACATTAAAGATGACAATATAATAGATATGTTTTAAATGATTCACACACTCACACACTCACACAACGGAACCATTAAAGATAGATCTCTGATCTTAAACAGATTGACCCGTCTCACATGTAACATTAAAGATGACAATATAATAGATATGTTTTAAATGATTCACACACTCACACAACGGAACCATTAAAGATAGATCTCTGATCTTAAACAGATTGACCCGTCTCACATGTAACATTAAAGATGACAATATAATAGATATGTTTTAAATGATTCACACACTCACACACTCACACAACGGAACCATTAAAGATAGATCTCTGATCTTAAACAGATTGACCCGTCTCACATGTAACATTAAAGATGACAATATAATAGATATGTTTTAAATGATTCACACACTCACACACTCACACAACGGAACCATTAAAGATAGATCTCTGATCTTAAACAGATTGACCCGTCTCACATGTAACATTAAAGATGACAATATAATAGATATGTTTTAAATGATTCACACACTCACACAACGGAACCATTAAAGATAGATCTCTGATCTTAAACAGATTGACCCGTCTCACATGTAACATTAAAGATGACAATATAATAGATATGTTTTAAATGATTCACACACTCACACAACGGAACCATTAAAGATAGATCTCTGATCTTAAACAGATTGACCCGTCTCACATGTAACATTAAAGATGACAATATAATAGATATGTTTTAAATGATTCACACACTCACACACTCACACAACGGAACCATTAAAGATAGATCTCTGATCTTAAACAGATTGACCCGTCTCACATGTAACATTAAAGATGACAATATAATAGATATGTTTTAAATCATTCACACACTCACACACTCACACAACGGAACCATTAAAGATAGATCTCTGATCTTAAACAGATTGACCCGTCTCACATGTAACATTAAAGATGACAATATAATAGATATGTTTTAAATCATTCACACACTCACACACTCACACAACGGAACCATTAAAGATAGATCTCTGATCTTAAACAGATTGACCCGTCTCACATGTAACATTAAAGATGACAATATAATAGATATGTTTTAAATGATTCACACACTCACACACTCACACAACGGAACCATTAAAGATAGATCTCTGATCTTAAACAGATTGACCCGTCTCACATGTAACATTAAAGATGACAATATAATAGATATGTTTTAAATGATTCACACACTCACACACTCACACAACGGAACCATTAAAGATAGATCTCTGATCTTAAACAGATTGACCCGTCTCACATGTAACATTAAAGATGACAATATAATAGATATGTTTTAAATGATTCACACACTCACACACTCACACAACGGAACCATTAAAGATAGATCTCTGATCTTAAACAGATTGA